AAAAAAAAAAAAAAAAAAAAGAACAAATTAGAGAAGAGAGAGAGACTATGGACACAGACTGTCGCTATGACCTAGACCAGCTATAACAGCAGCCTAAGGAGACTGAAAGAAATAATAATCTTCCAAGCAGCCTAAGCAAAAAGACTCTTGCCATGGTAGCACATGCCTATAAGCCCAGCACTCAGGAGGCGGAGGCAGGAAGGTGGTGCCACCTTGACCTACATAGCAAGTTCCAGGCCAGCATAAACCACACATCACAAAATTTTTTAAAAACATGAAACTCAATGAAATAATATAATCAATATGACTAAGTTTGAGGGTAAGAAAAGAGAAGGAAGTAAAAGTTAACTACTGAAATACTTGCTCGCACACATGTGAAAGATGGTATATAATTCACAAAATGAAGAAAAAAAGCAGTTACGGGAAGGAATTAATGAGACAGAGAATTTTGAGGACCTGTGGAAAAGAGTATCTTTGAAAGAAATCAAGAGAATTTAGGAGTTGTTCAGTATAAAGATAGTAAGTGGAGCCAAGAAATTAAATAAAATTTACAGGGAGAGTGTACAAAATGAGAAGAGAAAGGGTTCTAAGCCCGAATCTTGAGGAAAGCCATTATTTGAAAGACAGAGAGAAGATCCAGAGCAAAGGAAGTGGGCGTGTAACAAGAAATGAATGGGGGTGGGGGTGGGGATTTAGCTCAATGGTTCCACCACCTGCCTTGCCAAGTACAAGGAGTGAAGTTTGATTCCCAGTACAAAAAAAAAAAAAAAAAAAAAAAAAAGAAAGAAAGGGAAGGACTTAATATCCAGTGTAAGAATCAAGAATTAGGGCTGGGGATTTAGCTCAGTGGTTCAGCCACCTGCCTTGCAAGAGCAAGGTCCTAAATTCAATCGCTGGTACCAAAAAACCAAAAAAAAAAAAAAAAAGAAAAAGAAATAAATCAAGAATATTAAGAACATATTTTAGAAAGATAATTCTGACCACATCACCCTCTCTTTCTTCATCAATCTTATTTTCTTCCTGACACTAAGTATCTGAAATTCATTCATTTATTCACCTTTCTCTCATTACAATGTTAACTGACACCAGAGACCCTGTGCATCATATTCATTACTGTTTCCATAGGATTTAGCAATAGTGCCTGATATGTAGTAGCTACTTACTGTACTGAAAAGATCAAGGCAAAAATACAAAAGAACTGTAAGAGGAATTGAAAGAGATTTGAAAGTCATATTGGAGGCAAAGTTATCAGAACATGCTGACTGATTAAATATACGAGATAAGGAAAAGTTTTCAGATTACTACCAACAAAATTTAATTTGTTAGGGCCAGGGATTTAGCTCAGTGGTTCTGCTGCCTACTTCACAAGCGCAAGGTCTGGAGTTCGAGCCCCAGTACCAAAAACAACAACAACAAAAACAACAACAACAAACCCCCCAAAACTGTGTTAAATGATAAGGAGCAACAGGTATATCAATCATAGTTTTGCATTCCAACGTCACTTAGCTTTTGCACTTAATGCTCCCACTTCCAAGAAGCTTCACAAATATGAAGACAAAATAATTTGAATATTTCCAATAGGAAAAGCTATGAATATACGAATACATTTTAGTACATATTCTGCATGGCATCTGATGGACAAAATATCTAGTATACATGGAGACTCCTCTTAACAAGGCAGATCTGTGTTAATTAAAACACTTAAAACATTTCCTACCAAATGCATCCAAAGTGAGTGGCTTGTGAAGTAGTTAAACACATAGAGACTTCAGGAGGAAGTAGAAGAGGTTTCAAATTTCATCTGTGCCCCATAACCACATAATCTTTCTAAATAAGCACCCCAGTTTCCTTATCTTCACCTCACAACAGAAAATATTACATAAATATTAATCTTTGCTGGTAAAGAAATGTTTTCACAAAAAACACCTACTAGCCAAAATAGGTCATATACAGTCAATATGAGGAATACTACTTAAATCTTATTAAGTTCAATGGTGTGCCAATGCTAATCCAACTGCTTAACTTGATTCTCATCTCACGTCTTTCCTGCATAAATTCTCCACTCCAAAAAAGCTCATTTATCTTGTCACATGAATACGTCCTACATATTCATTAAACTTGATTTATAAAGTTTCTCTTATCCTCCTTCCTTTTCTATAATCCTACTCAGTCTTCAAGACTCTCCCAAAATGCTTGTATTTCTCTTAAGCTTCTCAACTGACCATACAAGTCCACCATAATTTCTCCTCCAAGAATTCCTATAACATTTTTCCACATCCCTCAGTTAACATTAATAAAGTATAGGGGAGCTTTATAACTCTTCCTAATTGGTTAATCATTAATCATGGGCTCTTGGCAACAGTGTGTGCATATTTGAAACTATTACATGTATCCTCATCTGATATCTTAATGACTGGTCAAGAAGGGACAAAATATTTAATTAAACATTTAATGAAATAGGTCTTATGTTCTTCCTTCCCATTGTGCTTTCTGATTTGATCATGAAAGAAGCAACAGTCACCAAAATATGTGTTCACCTTGCCTGTAGGCAGACCTTAGCCTTTTCTTCCCATCGTTCAGAGACCGTAAGAAGCTCCTGTAACTCAGCCATTGCTTTCTCCACGGCATGGTGGGGTGCCAACCCTACCCCAGAGTCAATCAGCTTTTTCATGATATCCAAAGTGACTTGTTGTGGATCTGAGAGGGTCAATCTTACTTCATCCAACCACCGAGCCTGCTGTAGCTCTTGCTTCAGTCGAGGTAATTCAGGTAGCTCCACATATAGACTAGAGCCCATGTCTATCAACATCTGGAGTTTGGAAGAATCTGGGGTTTCATCCATCATTGCCTCCTGAGCTTGTTCGTGGAACTCTTCCACATCATCAAGCAGATTCTGAAAAGGACAAAATAAAAAGCAAATGCTTGGGGTGTGCCTCAGTGGCACAGTACTGCCTAGCATGTACAAGGCCCTAGGTTTAATCCCAAGCAGCATATACACACACACACACACACACACACACACACGGCAAATTTAAAGGAAACAAAATGAGTATGGAAAAGATGTAGCAAACTATCAATTCTAGAGCATCTTACACTAATTTTAGATATAGTATACTTTTAAAATACAATCGATTCACTCAATAAGTATTTAATGTTTGCTAAGTTAGATGCAGGCACTGTTCCAGGCACATGGGTTTTTTTGTTGTTGTTTTTTGTTTGCTTTTTTTGAGACAGGGTTTCACTATGTAGTTCAGGCTGACCCTGAACTCATAACAATCCTCCTGCCTCAGCCTTCCAAATGCTAGGATTACAGATGTGCACCACCATGCCTGGTGGCACACAGTATTGAATAAAACAAAGTCCTATCTTCAGGGAACCTATGATGTGTGACTGAGAAACACAATAAATGTTTTAATTTATTACAATAAAAAATACCTTGCCATTAATTCTCCTCAATATACTCTCCCTCACTTCAAACACACTTATACCATCATTCTTATCACTTTCTGAAGCAGTTCTGGAAGTATTCTTTCGTGAATGTATTTAGTTGTACTGCTGGGGCTGCCTCAATGTCCTGAATGCAAAACATTTACCTTGTATGGACATTTTGACTCTGGGGAAGAGACAGAAGTTATATGATTACAGATCTGATGAATAACATAGAATAGAACACACTATAATGATTTTGGGAGCTTGCCTTTCTGTTGGATGACAACTGACAGCAGCATTCACCTGTTTTTGATCACATCACATAAAGACAAGAAAGACGACCTCCAGAACTGCTTTAGAAAACAGCAAAAATAATGTATAAGTGTGTTCACAGAAAGAGGGAGTACTCCGAGGTGGACAATTGCAATGTGTCTTTTACTGTAATAAAATTTAAATATTTACCATATATTTTGTTCACTCCTTATTCGTTGTAATATAGTAGCCAGATAGTGAATATATTAATAAAATGGCTCAGTTTAGTGTTAGATGCTCTGAAAACAACACAGGGCCACAGAGAATGATCAGAAGGGACTGACAGCATGTAATTTAGCAATGGTAGTCACAGACTACAGCAAACCAAAACTAAAATCAAAGGAGAAATTGTATGAAGAAAGAATACAATTATACAACATATTTTTCTGATGGAAAAATAGTTCAAGCAGTACAAATACTAACTACAAAAGCTTTAAAAAGGAATGGGCTTGAGGCGTTACACATTCATAAGGAAAAGTCAGGCATGGTGATGCACTCCTGTATCCCACCCAGCATTTGAGAGGCTGAGGCAGGAGGATTGCTGCAAGTTTGAGGACAGCCTTAAACTACACAGTGAGACCCTGTCTCAAAAAACAAAAAAACAAAAACAAAAAAAAACCCAACAAGTGAATGAAAAGAGAAACGTAATAAATAAATAAGCAGAAGTTAGACTATATAATGTCTTATAAATTATAACAAGTTTTGATTTCATTCTAATGGCTTTGGAAAACCACTGCAGGATTTTAATCATAAGGGAATGAAGGATATAGCTCAGTGTGAAGGCCTTGGGCACAATCTCTAGTTCTAAAAAAAAAAAAAAAGTAGAATATAAAGAAGTTCAGAGACCACTGCAATAATCCAAAGCACACATTCTAATGGAACACAACAAATTTTAAACAATGAAGATGAAGATAAACAGTTCACTTTGGGGTATATTTTGGCAGTAATAGCAGCATTTGTTGAACAAAGGGCCAAAGGGAAATAAAGGAATCAAGGACTTTGACTCATTTGATTCATTAAAAGGCTTTTCAAATACCTCTCAAACTGGGCTGGTGGTGCTCATCTGTAATCCCAGCACTCTGGGAGACTGAAAAGGAGGATCATAAGTTCAAGCCTACCTGGGGCAACTCAGTGACTTAGTGAGACCCTGTCTCAAAATGAAAAATAAGAAGCAATGGGGCATACAGCTCAGTGCAAAGGTCCTGGGTTCAATTCCCAGTACTGCCAAAGCATAAAAATAAAAAATAATTCTTTCTGTCTGTTAAAAGAAATGTAGAGTATACGTCTAGATATACAAGGTGCTATGGGGTAGAGGCCAAAAAGAACTAAGAAAAGGAAAATATGGTGTCACCGATGGTTAGTCAAGAAAGTCATTCAAGAGAGTATTCTACCACCAAAATGTTCTTATAAAATGCAGTAAGACAAGATCACAACAGATACTAGATTTTGCAAGTGGGTAACTTTGATAAAAAATTATTTTAGACACCCTAGCCATCCTCAGAACACAAAAACTATCAAAAGATTACTAACCATGTAGACCAACATTCTTGATATATATTTTAGAGATTTCACTTACTCATTTAATGATCAAGGTCCTGATAAGTTCAGAGATCTGCCTGAGCAACTTAGTGAGACCATGTTTCAAAATAAAAAAGGGCTGAGGACATAGTTCAGTATGAAGGCTCAGAGATCAACCCCTAATAGCATTAAAAAAAAAAAAAAAAAAACTCATATATTAGTTACTATTACACTCAAGATTCTTTTAACTAACTTAATGCATTTCAGCTATATGTATATTAAATGAAGGCTCTAACCTAACAAAGAAAAGATAATTCCTAATAGCCTTCATTCCAAAACTGTAAAAGGAATGAAGGCTAAGAACAAAACTAAGACACTACCTACTAAAGAACCTTAAATAATAGCATATATGTGAGAAAATAAACAAGCAGAAGAGAAAAACTACTCTAGATATCCCATCCTACTATCCGAAACAGTAGCCCACACTACAAAGGCTATTACTCAAGAGAAGAATGTAATACTCCACCTTTACTTGTCGAGCTTGGCTGATAACACATGGAAGACTAAAAAGTTGTTGGACAAAGGCCTTCAATTCTTCTACTGTCAGCTTGGTCCGAGTTCTCCCACTATCTGGACTCTGCCTAATGTGAAATAATAGTGAAACATAGTAAGAAAAAGTCCAGTCGTTCTAATATAAAATAGGGTTCCTACGTATTCTCTTCAGAATTTAAACCTGAGCAATTTAGAATCCTAATGTTTGAGGGATTCCACTGCAGTGATAATCACTTCAAAAAATTAAAGTTCCTAAGTTAATAACTCAAAGATTCAACTCTTTAAGTCACAGATCCTCCAATCTATAAGTGCTAAAATATTTCAAACATTAAATAAATTCCCCAGAGTGAAAAATTAAGTTCATTAAACTAAATCATGTTTTTTTTTTTTTTTATTCTTTTCGAGTTTTCTTGAGACACTCACTCTGTAGCTTAGGCTGGCCTTAAACTCCTGATCTTCTTGCCTCAGTGTCCCAAGTACTGGGACTATAGACTTGTGCCACTACACCCCAAACTTAAATCCTGTTAAAAAGCATACAATTTGGAACACAGGCCTTTAGTTTGCCTTCGATTAATGAGCCCTCTGAAACTTTTCCGAAACTGTGCCTATATATTATGCATTTTTCTGAAAGGTTCTTAAACTTTAACTAGATTCTCCAAGGAACTCAGTGATCCAACTATAAGTTAAGAACTACTAGACAATGTTTCTAAGAAAGGTTCTCTGATAAATAGTACATTATAAAAATTCACAAAGTAATTTAAATCCCAACCTGAACAGCCATAGAAGAAAAGCCATTCAGATACGAGGAATGTGTTAGAATGACTGAAATAATGCCACAGGAAAGTTAATAAACACAAATTACATTAGATCAAGGGCACACCATTCAACACTCCTTAAACAGCCTCCTCTGCATCCATCAAAGTTATTCTTTGCTGCCACCTCCCCTGAGCCTATAGTATCACTTATTTATTTGAAATATTTATTGTGTACTACCATGTGCCAGGAATTGTTCTAAGTAGAACAAATATAGCAATGAAAATCAGGACAAAAATCCCTGACATTCTAATTTAGTGTACGTTGTCATGGAGGTGAGGAAGAAGGTAGATAACAATAAAAAAGTAAATGAGGATAGCAGAAGCTGACAGAGATAGAAGAAAAACAAAGCAGGAAGGATAAGATGGTTACAGTTTTATAAAAAGTTGTCTAAAAAGCTTCTTCAAGAAAGTGACACTGAAAAGATTTGAAAAAGGGAACAAGTCACCTGGACAGAGTGTGAAGAGAAATCCAAGCAAAAAGAAGGGCAAGTGTGAATGCCCTGGGGAGGAAGGCTGAACAGTTATATTATGAAGAACAGTAAGGAAAAGGGCATTGCAGAGCAGAACAAGAAAGGAGAGTTCTTTGAGAAAGAAAAATGTAAAATTAGAAATATGACGTCCCTTAAAAAGTGAATCATAAAAACAAACAAACAAACAAAAAATCTTGGAGCCAGGCGTGGTGGCGCATGCCTGTCATCCCAGCACTTGGGAGGCTAAGGCAGGAGGATCACTGTGAGTTCAAGATCAGCCGGGGCTACATAGTCTGTTCCAGGTCAATCTCAACTACATAGTGAGACCCTGTCTCAAAAAACCAAAAAAAAAAAAAAAAAAATGTGAATCTTGCCGGGCATGGTGGCACACACCTGTAATCCCAGCACTTGGGAGGCTGAGGCAGGAGGATCACTGTGAATTCTAGAACAGCCTGGGCTACATAGTGAGTTCCAGGTCAGTCTCCACTACATAGTAAAACCCTGTCTCAAAACACCAAAAAAAAAAGTGAAGCAATTCTAATAAAAGGTAGATTATAAAGCAAACCTCTTCAACACAAAATACTTTATTCAGATTCTGTTATTAAATATTCTGATCTGTTCTATTAAGAAAGTTGAATTTGGTATCTAACTAATGAAAAAAAAGAACCCTGGTTAACTACTATCAACTAAGGTGGACAGTCTGAACTATGGTTTAAATTAACCATGCTCTTTTCTCTTCCACAAATGCTGTATTTCCCTGTAGGATTCATTCCTACTATTCATTCTGTGAGGAAAGGATACTACTGTTTTCCAGTTGTCTACAGGCATCTGCTTTACTCATATGTGTAAGTCTCAGGACTAATGAAACATTTCAAAAATCTTATTTGAAAAGTCATAAAACATTTCTAAGAGAGGGAGAAAATGCCAGCTCATGAACTGTACATCCTGTTAATTACTTTAGATATAGACAAATGTAAATAAACTTAGTGGGGGGTTTTGTTGTTTTGGTTTGTGATAATGGGAACTGAACTGAGGGTTATATCCTCAGAAAGTTTTTGAGATAGGGTCTTATTAAACTTCCTAGCCGGGCTACAAATTACAATCCTCCTAGCTCAGCCTCTTGGAATTCTGGGATTACAGGCCTGTGACATTATGACCAGAACTTAGTGACTTTTAAAAATTATTTTCCTGCGTGAAATGGATGTATTTTAAGACAATAATGTTAAGTGAAATAAATCAGACACACAAGCTCAAATATCACATAGTTTCTCTTATACGAGAAATCCAAAATATAAAGAGCAAATAAAAGATAAGTAATTGGAGCTGGGCATGGTGGTGCATGCCTGTAATCCTAGCACCTGGGAGGCCAAACAAGAGAGTTGCTGTGAATTCAAAGCCAGCGTGAACCATACTTTTTTGAGACCCTGTCTCCAAAAAAGGGGGTAGGTAATTGGAAACAGAGAGATAGATCTTTTGCAAGAGACAGAGGGAAGGGAGAAGGAGGGGTTGTAGATAGGAAAATAAAAAGAATTAAGAACTGTATATATTGTAGCAACTTCTTATGATGAATGTAATCATTATGTACTATAAACATGTACTAATAAAATTTGTTTTTTACTAATAAAATTTTTTTAATTAAAAAATAAAAATTGTTTTCCCACTTAGAGCTAGGTCTTTGTCCCACAGACACCATACAAACTTCAGTGTGGTTTCTATCATTGAACATAGCAGATCTGTTTGCTATCTTCCTGATGCAGTTTTTATAACTAACTGGAACTACTACAGTTTAATGAGCTTCTCATAATTCCTGAACCACTACCCCAGAAAATAAAGAAAACTGATAATAGCAGGAGATAAGACTAGAGCATTATTAGGGAAGGCAGAAACATGGCCAAAGAAATCAAAGATAATGTACAGTCTCATTGGCTAGTTACACCTCTGCCTTTTATTCTGAGCAAAAAGAAAAAAAAAAGAATTACACTCTAAATAGATTTACCTGTGTTTCTGCTTTTTGCTCAGAAGCAGCTGGGCCACAGATGCACAAGTCTCAGCTTCTTTTACAGCATCCTTGAGCTTTCGAAAAAGATCATTTTCTGGATATTTCCTATCCTCAGCATCTTCCAGCATTACTCGCAATTCAATCAAATCTGTAGAAATAAATAAAAAGCCATGTATTATGACTACGAACATTAGGACAAAAAGCCATTCTAAAATCTTCACCAACCTCACCAATCTATTAGTACAAACATATTGCTGCTGTAAAATCTCCCCATTGCAAAGTTTCTGATCAGCTGCCGATTCCTACTACCAATACTTGATTTCTCTCAGATAAGGCCATTTCTCTTTCAAAAACCTTCAGTGCAAGTCCAGTGACAACAGTGACTCCCTAAAAAAAATACATCTACCGCAAGTTATCTGTCTCTTTTGATGTCAGATTTTTCAATAAAAAGATTCTCAAAGACAAAATTAAACCTTTGTTCAACCAACCTGTTATGAGCCTCATGTGCTCCTAAGTAAGGCTTTTTGGGAGGTGACTGGATCATGGGGGTGTGATATTGATGCACTTATAATTAAATGTGATATTGGGAGGTGAAGCCTAGTCAAAAGATGTGGGTTACTGGGGGCATGGCGTGGAAAGGATTAACTTCTCTCTCCTGCCTTCTCTAATTCCTAACTGCCATGCATCCTCTGCCATGCAACCCTCACTTGGAGCCAGGTGACTATGGACTGAAACCTCCACAAACTATGAGCCAAAATAAACCTTTCCTCCTTAGAGCTACGGGCGTCAAGAACTATATCTCAGTGACAAAAACAATAACTAATGCACAAACCATTTGTTAGTCTCAAATCTCATATGAGACCTATGAATTTTTCTTAATTGAGGGGAAAAAACAAAATTAATAAACTTTTTCTCACAGTAAGAAAGACTGGACCAAGGGGTGCATGCATGCTAGGCGAGTGCCCTAACCCTGAGATACATTCCTTTCCCCCTTTTTGGTGGGGGAGGTCTTGCTAAGTTGTGCAGGCTGACCTTAGCTTGTAATCTTCCCGCCTCAGTGTCTCAAGTAGCTAGGATTATAGGTATGTACCATTATGCCCAACTAGGATCCTTTTAAAATGACAATAATTTCAGTATATGCATACAAAAGAGGAAAACTTAACCTTTCTTGTGGTTGAAGTTAGCAGATAATGCTTCTGTAACACGACTGACCCAAGTGTCATAGGATTGTGCCCTGACTTTTACACCATAAAGAAGAGAAGGGAGATCTTCTAATGGGTAGCGATATCTACAAAAAACACAGAAATAAAAAACTTTAAATTCCAACAACTTAAAAAAATTGAGTTTTAAGTATAGTCAGTTTAAGAACAGGTACAGTGGTAAAGGGAATGGGATCTTGGTTTACATTAAGAGAAAATCAAAGAAGCTCACAGCTTTAATTTTGAGAAAGACAAAAAACATCTGGTATTAATGGATAAAGATTAACTATAGCTGCCATGCTAAGGGCCAATTTTAAAGGACTGATCCTCAAGCAGGAAAGCTAAAAAAAAAATCATTCCAGTTCAGGGAAAAGGAAGGTGTAACTACATCGTTAACATATCTTTTTAAAAGGTAATGAAAGTTTTACAGGATACCTAAGACATTTCTTCTGCATGGGGCAGGGGCAGAGATCAGTTGGATGGTAGAGACATACAAGCCGCTCAGGATTACAGGAGCATGTGAGAGCAGAGAGAAAACAAGTGGTTCTACATGCTGAACACTGTCGCTCATCATCTGGAACAAGTTCAAACACTTCTTCTTCTGACATCAGGACACCCTGAAATACAATTTACACCACCAGATCAAGTCTTTCTTTTCTCTAAAATATCAAAGACCCTAAACTGTATTTTTCTACAAGTGTATGTCTGATTTAAGGCATAAATATGAAAGCCACAATGACAAGACATGAAAATACTTTCTGAAAATGATCATGACTAATCTTTAAAACTAAACTTTGGTGTCTAAGGATACACATTTGAGAGAAAAAAATTATAAAGAAATGCAAGAAAGTAAGTACTACAAAGTCAGGATACATTTTTGAGAGGAGTAATTTTAATGAGGCGATTCTTTGGGGACAGCTGACAAATTTAAACTTCTTGACCTGAGTGGTAATGACAAGAAGGTTGACCATGGAATTTATGAAGCAGTCTGTTGTATGTTTTATGTGGTTTTGCCTTCTCTTTAAAACAATAAAACAAAATTTTAAAAAACTAATGCCCCGGGATACTATATACCCTTGAATGAGACAAATTAGTAATATATCAAGCACATACAAAGGCAAGTATACCTAACCAAGTTACCTAATGTGGAAATCAAAATACTTTAGCAAAATGTCAATGAAATAAAATTATTTAATCAAACTTAGATGCCAGTTTAGTTTAGGAAAGAAAGTACATGAAACACATTTAAAAAGACTTTCATTCACTGTAAAAAAGTTCTCTTTATAGCTTCTGTTTATTTGAGCAAGGAAAATATAAACCCAATTCTTCTAATAAAAGCAAGCTTTTTTCACTTATATAAGGAAGAAGCCTGATCATTTATTCACCAAGAGACCCAATCCAATTCATTCATCATACTCTTTTTGATCAATTTAATCTACATGTTTGCTGCAGAGGGGTGAGGGCTGTGAAGGGAGAGCAGGGAAATGAGGAAAAAATAAGAGCGAAGAGCCAAGATACATCATGTAAAGGTACAAGATCCCAATGATGAATGTATACTATTTAACTTAAATGTACCAATAAACTCAATGGAAAAAATAATAATCTAAGAACCGGGGATTTAGCTCAGTGGTTCGGTGGCCTGCCTTGCAAGCGCAAGGACCCAAGTTCAATCCCTGGTACCAAAAAAAAAAAAAAAAAAAACAAAAAAAAAATCAAACTGTTTTCTGTTGTACTGCA